CAAAATGCAGTTTTGGATGGGCAGATAAGGAGTGGTCTTTGTTCCTCAACTTAAGTAATGGAACTTCATTACTTGTGATCATCAACAGCTTTTGCCGCAGATGTTTATTTATGACAAGTGTTATCAGTAACTGATGTATAAGTATATGTATATGTAAATATGTTCATGTTCCTTTAATTTTTGGTTTAATGTGCCTATGTATAAGCACTGAAGCACATTTATTGCTATTCCTTGGGCTTATTCTTATTATAGATGTCTGCCCCTCTTTCTGCATTCAAAGTCTGCCTCCTCCCTGGTATTGGAAGTCACCATAGCAACCAGTGACTGACAGGTGATGGGCTGATTGATACTGGACTAAGGACACCAAACACACCTGCCTCCATCTTCAATGTATAATGTTACTGTGTGCTCTATCAGCACATATCTAACAGTAGCTTCTAGGCAAATCAACAGACCTGTTACTAATGAGGGCTGCAAGGTGACTCAGTGGTTAGCACCATCGCCTCGCAGCTAGAAGGTCCCCAGTTCGCGTCCCGGTGAGGACACCTTGGATCTTTCTCCATGTTTGCATGTTCTCCCCATGCAGCGTGGGTTCTCTCTGGGTTCTCCGGCTTCCTCCCACACAGTCCAAAAACATTCATCCAGCCACAGCTGCCCACATCCTGGGTGGCTGTGGCTCAGGGGGTAGAGTGGTTATCCTGTGAGCGCAAGATTTGCAGTTCGATCCCCAGCTCCTCCATGGTTGAAGTGTCCTTGGGCAAGACAATAGCAGGGAAGCGCCTTGAATGGCAGCTCTGTCTCCATTGGTGTATGAACGAGTGAATGAGAAAACATTGTAAAGCGCTTTGAGTACCACCAAGGTAGAAAAGCACTATTTAAGTGCAGACCATTTACCATTTACTAGTACTTAACCCAAATACTAGAGAGGATGTGGCTACTGTGAAGCACTTCATACACACATATTCTGGGGATGCTCTGTTCTTTAACCCTTCTGGGACAGTGTTCATGGTACTATCAGAGAAGTCCTGTGTTACAATATTGAATTGACTTGCACGTCATTTTCTTTACAGAACATGGACCCAAACTTATCCTAAAGTGACAGATATCTCCTAACAATTTTTATGTCAGCAAGAAAAAAGGCGGGCTGCAAGGTGGCGCAGTTGGTAGCACTGTTGCCTCGCAGCAAGAAGGTTGCCGGTTCGCGTCCCGGTGGGGGCACCAGAATCTTTCTGCGTGGAGTTTGCATGTTCTCTCCAGGTTCTCCAACTTCCTCCCACACAGTCCAAAAACATGTTGAGGTTAATTGGTGATTCTAAATTGTCCATAGGTGTGAATGTGAGTGTGCTTGGTTGTCTGTCTCTAAGTGTGGCCCTGCGACAGACTGGCGACCTGTCCAGGGTGTCCCCTGCCTTCGCCCTAAGTTGGCTGGGATAGGCTCCAGCCCCCCCGCGACCCTAATGAGGATTAAGCGGTGTATAGATAATGGATGGATGTAACAAGGCGATGGCTCTGTAGAGAATATCCTATCAACCAATGGGCAGCTATAATTACAAATAGCCAGAACATGGAGCGTACAAGTTTCAGTTTAAGACTCAAGAAGGAAAAATATGAAGCTCTCTGGTAAAAATGGGACATGTACCTCACTACAAGAGGTGTCAACCCGCTTTGTTTTTGATCTATGGCCTATCAAAACAATATTCTCACTTAATCGTCTCTAGTGTTATGCTCCTATCCTCTCAACTGTTGCTGTTCATGTGTTACATACACACTAAATGTGTGCATTTGTGTTTTGGGTTTTTTTTGCTACTTTTTGTAAAAAATAAAAATAAAAAAATAAAATAAAATTCTTTGAAAAAAAGGAAAAAATAAAGTTTAATCCTTATTCTGCCTGTCTCCCGCTCCCTCTGCTCTTCTCACTGCAAGCAACCAGTGACTCCCAGGTGACTGGCTGACTGACACTGGACTACACTTTCAAAGTAGAAGGTCAAATATGTTACTACTGTACTGATAAAGGTTTATGAAAACATGCTGACTTTCAAAATAAAATGTACTTAGATAAATTATACCTTATGTACAACTATAGCAGAACATGTTAACCAGTCAAAGCTATATTGGCACACTCAAAATCTCTTCAGAAATGTTGTAGTTATGTAATTCGTGTACACGTGTCCAGTAATACGAAGTACCAAATGTTACCTCATACTGTGCATTCAACCACTAAGCAACATGTATGTAGTTAGACAAAACTCAGTTGTGTTCTGGGAGTAAACTCACCGCACTCTACAGGCATATTTTTAGTCAAACCAGTTTGTGTGGACAAAAAAGAGCAAGACTAGACTGACAGTTGAGCATCGTCCTATGGTCAGAGCCCCTGAACCACATTGCAGCTCTACAGTTGTAAAAATTTAACTCATAGCTGTAGATAACAGGTGACACAGGTATAATAGGTACAAACACCTAATAACTAATGTGACATTTTTTGTTTTGTGGAAATATCCTTTGGAGTATTTGGAACAAAATTTAACAGTTTGACATCAAGGAAAAAAAGGGAATGAAGAGTCAGAGATTGGAAAGTGAGAACAAAGGTAGAAAGGACATGGCTAGTTGTTCTTGGATGAAATGGCAACCAATCCAAGTGTGGAGTTCCACATGCTTCGGGCAAGCTGTATTGTGATGTGATCCTACCAGATCACACAAGAATAGCAACACATGCATGTGTATCCATCTGTCAGCTGCAGCCATTGAGCCAAGTCACTTTGAGAAGATGAAGGTTGGTCCTGCTCTTAAATGTATTCAGTAAGGCAACAGTTGCTGGGCTGAAATACATAGTGCAGCAAGAAAACAACCCTTTGTCTTATGTGAAATTATCACCATTAAAAAAGTTCTATTCTATTCTATTCTATTACATGTCACTAACTCTGTGTTTCCCCCGAGGTCCGGTGCTTGTTCTCTCACATCTCTCATCTGCAGCTGCTGGCCTCACCGACCCTCAGAATATTTATTGCTCTGTTCTATTGCTTGCTCTCCATTTGATATCCTGCTATCCCCCACCCCCTCATCCCCACTCTCACCCAACCGGTTGAGGCCTTTCCAGAGCCTGGTTCTGTCATAAAAAGAGTATTGAGGCAAATTGAAGAAAAAAGTAAAAAACAATGCTTAAAAGATGGCCATCTTGGAAGCAAGAGGCAATCCAGAAAGGAAAAAAGAAACAAGCAGCCAAGCTTCAACTTTTAGCAACCACTAAACAGTTCCAAACCCAGTAGTTGTTGTAATGGAAATATTTGGACCAACCATTGCTCCAACAATGCTCCTCCATGGCCAGCACCCAGCTAACATCACTGAACCCTTACCTGCAAACACTCAGCCAACAACGCTGCCACTTCACCTGCCAGCACTTAAATATTATCAATATTGCTTCACCATTAAAATAATTCATCATTACCATTTCTGTCCTGTGACATCACTCGTCCTTTCCTTGCAGCAATTCTGAAATGCAGCAACTTACATATTCAACAAGTTATAATTGGATCATAAAATTTTTGTATGACTATTGTTGACTTAATCAAAAATTACTTTGCTATGATTTCAACCTAACCATGGTTGACTCAGCACTACTCACCAGCAGCACTACTGCTGCTCCATCACACAATTGTCTTGTGGCATCCCTGTTCCTCCATCAGTTACAATTACACACTAATAAGATTACTTATATGATAACAGCAAGTAGAAAATATCAGAAGAATTTTTGAGTAGCAGCTGTGGCTTAGATGTTAGAGTGGGTTGTTTACTGATGGCAAGGTTGGCAGTTCAAGCCCCCACCCCTCTGCTTGTCGAAGTGTCCTTGGGCAAGACACTGAACTTGAAGTTGCTCCTACTGGCAGGCGGGCTCTGTCGCCATGAGTGTGAATGGATGAATGAGAACAACACTGTAAAGTGCTTTGAGTACATCTTAAGCACGAAGGAGCTATGTCAGTGCAGACCATTTATGAAATTGAGATGGAGACGAGGTTAACTGCTCGTTTTCATAAAATGTATTTGGTCAGAATTTAGAGTGGGTGACGTCACACCAGCTAAATTTTTCTTTTTCTTCTTTCATCTAGAATCTTGAAAAGTTCAGTATTTTCAAAAAATGTATAAAAATTCCAACTGTGTAAAAACTGTAAAATATATCAAAATACAGATTTAAATGAACTACATCAAAGCCTTGTGACCTGTTTAAAGTAAAGTAACTACTGTAGAATATGCTAGAGCCACATGGATCCAAAGATGGCTGGGTTTGGCAGTTGTCTGGCTGACTTCCCATTCGTGTCAGTGGGGAGTCTGAGAGGCCTTTTATTTATTTATTTATTTATTTATTTTTTAACGAATTTTGTCAAAAATCACATGATGAATCGCTACCAAAAAGTCATAGTGCACTATTCTTGAATAAGCTGCACATTTTGATATTTAATTTATTTGGGTTTTCTAAAAGCTCCAAGATGAGTTAGGTGCCCAAAATTGTGTCAGAAGAGTCTGTAACGATAAGCCAGAGGAATAGCAGTAAGTGTGCTGCAATGCTTATGCATTGGCAAATTTTAAATAGAGAAATCCAACAAATCCATAGTTTCCTTTGGTTTCCCTTTGACCAAACACTTGGCGACAGTGGGAAGGGGGAGAAAAAAAAAACTCTCTTGTAAGGGGAGGGACAAACATTTTTTTTGTCAGAACCAGGCTCTGGGAGGGTGGCCATCTGCCTCAGCCTGTTAGAATGAGGGTAGGGATGGAGTGGGTAAGGGAGTGGCTGGGGTGGGGATGGCAGATACAGAACAGACAAACAATACATAAGAGAACAACAAACACGGTACATATACTGTTTTCTGTGATAAATCCTCAACAGTTTAGACTGCTGTGAACACTAAATTACAATTTGAGACAGGATTATAGCACGTTTTGCTTAGTGGCTGACTGTGATATTAACAATTTTCACATTTTATCAAACCTTTTTATACAAGACACCAGAATTTTTTCCACTGTTGGACATTTAATAGCACTATGAAGTGCATACATTGTAAATTCAGCACTTCACTAAATTCAGCAAAGTAATGCATGACCACAACTGATATTTTATTGCTCTCTTCTGGACAAATAACATTTCTGTCACTGGAATGAGCTGTGTCAAACAGCACATGAGCAAAGACACAGCATTGTTCTGGGTAACTTGATTGTTCATGCATTTAAATGAGCTCCCAGGGCTGTGTTCTGTATTTGTAGAGATTCATTCTCCACCTAAATGTAAGAAAAGGTAATATGTAATAAATGTAAGTGTAAATATATGCAATTAATGTGTGTTCAAAAGACCATAATAAGGAAAAGAGCAGTATGGTCCTGTTAGTTATCAAGAGCCGTACGTCCTATTCCTGCTTTAGTCCTCATCACTGCCCATCTCTAAAGGATCAAAGGTTGGGTCATCCTCATCCAAATCCAGGTCCTCAATGTCCTGGAATAGTGACTCATCCACTTCAACACTGTTTCCAGCTGCAGAAGAAAGCAAGCATGTGTTAGGAACTAATGCTGAGAATAAATCACTCTTCCAATATATCCACACTGATCTTAAAGTATTAGCTGCTCTGTCCCTTATTCCTTTAATCATCTTTTATTTGTGACTCTTGCAATGCTCAGTAGCACCACAAGCTCCCAAATTATATCCTAGGTCACTGCAGTGTCAAACAGTAGAGAAAATTTTAACAACTGACAATTAGACATTAGACTACAATTTCTTTTAAAACAGCACCTTATGACAACAAATATCATCTAGATGGATGAAAAACCAATACAGTCAAATGCTTTGAGAAATGTTAATTTTTGGTTACTACTTGGACCCCAAGCCTCAATTCACCGAATTCCCTACATCTGACCATCTTCAATTTGACTGATATTTTCTTAAAATGGTGAATATTGATCGAGTTGACCATCTGTAAAATCTGGGGTCATAGGTAACATTAGTTTAAGTTAAAAAAAATGCATACAATGTATTATTGCTCCCAACTTTATCAATACAATGTTGCTATGTGACTAACAAGGTTAGAATGAACTAAAACAGATGTTGATCAAAAACAAGTAAAAACATATAGTGTTGAACAAATTTATTAGACCACTAACCAATGTATGGATAATGCCACAGCTACCCTTAATTAACTGCATTGGCAATTACCAAAATCATTTTGTGTGTGGGGGGGAGCTCGCCAGAGAGTGTCTGGTGGGGCTCGATGGGGTTCAGTCAGGCACAGCCCAAAGAAACAACAATCAACCACTGCCAGAGGGCCAAGCACCCACATGGCAAGAAATCAGGGTCGGGTGCTATACCCACCGGGCACTAGGCAGGCGCAAGCGTCTGGGTGTAATGCCCTCTGGTGGCGTAGACGACCTCACTGGCGGGGAAAGAACCTGAGCTGGTACGGGAGGTGGAGTGTCACTGGCTAGATATAGTTGAGCTCACCTCCATAGTTCTCCTGGAGGATTTCAAAGCTCACGTGGGCAATGATGGAGAAACCTGAAGGGGGGTGATTGGAAGGAACAGCCTGCCCGATCTGAACCCGTGTAGAGTTTTGATATTGAACTTCTGTGCTAGTCATAGACTCGCCATAACTAACACCATGTTTGAACATAAGGTAGCTCATAAGAGCACTTGGTACCAGAGCACCTTAGGCCACAGGTCAATGAGCGACTTTGTAGTCATGTCATCAGACCGGCGGCCATATGTCTCAAACACTTGGGTGAAGAGAAGAGCAGAGCTGTCAGCTGATGGTGAGTTAGATCCTATGGCAGGGAAGGCTGCCGGCCAGACCTGGTAAACCCAAACCTGTAGTGAGGATGAACTGGGAACATCTGGCGGAGGCCCCTGTCCGTGGGGTTTTCAACTCCCACCTCCGGAAGAATTTCTCCTGCATCCTGGGGGACATGGAGTCAGAGCAGGCCATGTTAAAAGCCTCCATTCCAGAAGAGGCTGCAACCAGAAGGTCATTGGTGCCTGTCGTGGCGGCAACCCCAAAACCTGCTGGTGGATACTAGTGGTGAGGGAAGCCATCAGGCTGAAGAAGGAGACTGGGAAGGGATATTGTTGGGCGGTGGAAAGAGCACTTCGAGGAACTCCTGAACCCGGTAAACACGTTGTCTGCAGAGAGGGCAAAGTCTGAAGGGTCTTTGTCTACATCTGTGGTAGAGGTCACCAAGGTAGTTAAGAAGCTCCTGGGTGGCAAAGCACCAGCTGGGGACGAGATTCACCCCGAGATGCTAAAGGCTCTGGACATTGTTGGACTGTGATGCCTGACACGTCTCTGGAGTGGCAGACCAGGTTGGTGGTTCCCATTTTCAAAAAAGGGGTACTGGAGAGTGTGTTCCATCTACCGGGGTATCACACTTCTCAGCCTCTGCAGGAAAGTTTACTCTAGGGTGCTGGAAGGGAGGCTCCGACTGACTGTTAAACCTTGGATTCAGAGAGAGCAATGCGGATTCCGTCCTGGTTGTGGAACAGTGGACCAGCTCTTTACCCTTACGAAGCTGCTGAGGGGGGCATGGGAGTTTGATCAGTCAGTCCACATGTATTTTGTTGATCTGGAGAAGGCCTACGACCATGTCCCCCGAGGGGCTCTGTGGAGGTTACTGAGGGAATATAGGGTACCAGGCTTGCTGATACAAGCCATTCGGTCCTTGTACAACCAAAGTGAGAGCTGTGTCAGCATTCTCGGCACAACGTCAGACATGTTCCCAGTGGGTGTTGGACTCCGCCAGGGCTGCCCCTCATCTCCGATCCTGTTTGTGGTGTTCATGGACAGGATCTCAAGGCGCAGCCGGGGTGAGGAGGGTGTCCGGTTTGGGGCCCTCAGGATTGTGTCTCTGCTCATTGCAGATGATGTGGAACTGCTGGCTCATAAGACCGAGACCTTCAGCACACAATGTAGTTGTTTGCAGGCGAGTGTGTAGTTGTGGGGATGCAGGTCAGCACCCTCAATTCAAAGGCCATGGTTCTCTGTCAGCTCCTTCCAGGTTGGGGGCGGGAGTTGCTTCCCCAATTGAAGGAGTTTAAGTATCTGGGGATTTTGTTCACGAGTGATTTGAAAATGGAGTGTGAGATGGACAGGTGGCTTGTGACGTGAGCAGTAATGCAGGTGTTGTACCAGACCGTCATCGTGGTGAAGAGGGAGCTTAGGCCGCAAGGAGTTCCCATCTACATTCCAATCCTCACCTATGGTCATGAGCTCTGGGTAGTGACCGAAAGAACAAGATCGCGGATACAAGCTGCCGAAATGAGCTTCCTCCACACGGTGGCTGGGCTCAGCCTTAGAGATAGGGTGAGAAGCTTGGACATCCGGAGGGAGCTCGGAGTAGAGCCACTGCTCCTTTGCGTCGAAAGGAGCCAGTTCCAGTGGTTTGGACATCTGGACATGTCTCTGAGAAGGCTTCATCTGGAGGTTTTCCAAGCACCTCTGCCTGGGAGGAGACCCTGGGGCAGACCCAGAACCATCTGGAGGGATCATATTTCTTGGCTGGTCTGGGAAAGCCTCGGGATCCCCCAGGAAGAACTGTAAAGCGCTGCCGGGGGGGACGGACGTCTGGAATGACCTGCTCCGCCTGCTGCCTCCGCTACCCGACCCCAGATAAATGGCAAAAAATGGATGGATTTTTTATGTTTCTGTAATGGTTAATACATTGGTATGTTGAAGCTCTTTAACTAAAATTATATTTTTAATTATAAAATATAATTATTATTGTTATCCTTGAATTTCAAAATTTAAAGTTTTTTTTAAATAAAAAAAAGAAAAAACAGTTAAGCACACTGTCATTTCTTGATTAAGATGTCAAATTATACTTATCTACTTGCATTCCTCAACAGAAAAATTAGTTGTAGTGGTTGAATGTTATGCTTTGTTATAATTTCTGACTTCTCAGAGAAGCCCAGTGAGCTGCCTCAAATTTGGGTATAAAAAGGTGAATTCAGTTTGATATTCCTCATTCTTGTTGAAAATGGTAAAAAAGCTCACTGAAAATAAAAGAGTCCATATTAAAGGACTTCATGATGCTGGATGATCTCTGAGACAAAACGGGAAAGACAAAGTGTTCTCACAATGTGGTCAAGTATGCTTTGGAGTCAATTGCCAAGACTGGTACTTACAAAATGCGTCAAAGGAGAGGCAGGAAACAAAAGTTAACTGACGCAGATGTCAGACACCTCAAAATTGTACGTACTACAGACAGAAGGAAGACCACTGCTGATCTTCAGGCAGAGATAAATGCGTCTAGATCAGTATGAGAAAGTCTCGAGAATGACCATAAGCAGACGACTGATGGAACAAGGCTTAAAAGAAAGAACAGCTGCTAGCTAAGAAGGCCTGCAAACATCAAGAATCGCCTCAGATTTGCCATACAGAACAAACACTGGACTGTTGGTAACTGGAAGAAGGTACTCTGAACAGATGTACCACTACTCATAAAATTATTTCAAGCACTATGAGTTGGAAAACCATGATTTTTTTTTTTTTTTAGCCCAGTACCAATATTATATAACTCTTACAGCTGGGACTGCTTTCACAGTGCTTTTACCTCTCATACCTGCTCAATGCATGTTCAAATACTGGCCATAAATGCAAAAAAGTGAATTTAAGCATTTAATCATTAAGCATGCCTCTGTCTGACACCATACTCAACATTTTTAAAACTCCTATTGGTGTCAATCACAGGGAAAGGAAATGCTTTTAGGGTAACACTAAAGGTTCTAAGGTTGGTGGAATATTAGAATTGGAAAAAAAGGACATTTTTTTGGCCACATTTGCACCATCAAATCAGTGGTTTGTATTATTCTATCTAACCATGGTTCTATCATTAAAGACAATATGTATATATCAATGAGCCTACAGGACATTATGTCTCAAGTTATGGCACTTCATTGCTCCGCAGACTGGCGTAAAGAATACGGCACAAAAATGGGCATGGCCTCACCCCTCCTCAAGACTTTGTAACTCATATCTGTGACCCCAGATTTTACACGTCAGAAAAGAAATCTGACAAATATTTTTAAAAATTTGGTGAAATAAATATACCATCTTCAAGGAACTGAATGTCAGATGTGTCCAGGTTGTGGTCTCTCTCAAACAGCTGTTTACCTGGTGAAGAAAAGATTACATGTGTTTCAGTTAGTAATTTCTGCAGTCAAATTTTCAAGTTGTGAGCCTTGACTGAGAACTGTTTTTAGGTAACAGTATCAGGTTTACCAGTGAGTTTGGGTTTTCCTGCCTGCTCCTCCTCTTTCTGTTTTTTCCTCCTCAGCTCAGCCATGTCCAGCTCAAACTTGGCTTTCCATGCCAGAAAGTTCTCAATGGTTACAACCGTGCCCTGGAACTCCACCTATCAAACACATACCATGATATTACTCAATTATATTTGTAAGAAGCTTTTTTGACTACATGAAGTTCTTGACCTAAAACTGAATCCTATTACTGCCCTTGACCTAAACAAACCTGGAAGGGGTTAAGCCTCAAATTGACAAGTTCAATTTGGGGCTCACAGGATGCTCACAGAAAGCTACTGCAGAAACAATTTTGGAACTTGAGAAAACTAGAAATGGCATGCAACATTATATCCTTGAATTAGAATGTAAGATGATAAAACATTTTTAATCCCAAAGGAAATTCTTTCGGTAAAAATATGACTGGAATTAAACATGTCAATGTAAGCAAAATATGACTTATCCCTGTTTTTACTTTCTCTGCCTCCTCTGCCTCTCTCTCTTTCCGCCGTTTTTCTTCTTCTCGCCTGTTTTTCATCACATCCACAATTTCATTGAGTTTATCCTGAACAGCTGTCACCAGGGTGAAAATCATCACCATGCCCAGATTTTCTTCAGCCTGCAGAAAAACATACAAATATTCCCAAATATTCATATTCAGCCTGCAGAAAAACAAACACATATTGTTGACACTAAATACATTCTATTATAACTGCATACCTATAACCACTGACACACTTTCTTTTTGAGGAAACAGAGTCCAGGTACAAGGGGTAGGAATCCCCCATCACTAGAGCTGTCGTTAGAAATGCAGTCAAGAATTTGGATATTGTTTGGCTATCCTGGTTGACACACCGTTCCAACTGTGCATGAGGGTCAGGGATAGTGCCACTGGATTGACAGGGATAGTGCTACTGGATTGAGAGATGTAGGTGGTGGTCCCCCTTTTCAAGAAAGGGTGTGAGCCGACTTAAGGAGGAATCACATTTCTCAGCCTCCCTGGGCTGATATATGCCTGTATGCTGGGGAGGAGGTCCTACCTGTTACCTGAACCTTAGATTCAGTCGGAAGAGTATGTCCTGGCTGAGGAACATTGAACCATCTCCTTAACCTGTCAAGAAAACTGGTGCATGGGAGTTTGCCAAACCATTCTTTGTGGACACTTGTTACTCTTTTGTTGTATGTACATGTTGCATGCCATTCCGCTAGGGGGCTCTAGTACTCCTGAAGCACATTATTGTGGTAGTGAAGTAACTAGGTTGCCGGCGGTGATCACGGTGCAGTTGAACATGGCAGAGGCTAAATAAGTTTGTTCTGAACTAAATGTGGAGTTGCCTTTGCACTAACACACTTATCTATGACAGTGGAGAGAGTGACTGAAATAAAAAGACTTCAGATGGATAGGGTTAGGAGCTTGATCGATGGAGAACGTCTCAGAGTAGAACCGCTGCTGCTCTGTATTAAATGAAGACCAGATGAGGCGGTTTAGCTATTGTCCAGGTGCCTGAAGGACACAAACCATGTCAAATGTTTTGGAAATGTTTTGGGCATGTCCAACAGAGAGGACAGGATACACCCAGATCCAGATGAGTGGTAGAAATCGAATGGATAGACATATTACCATCAGATAGCAGCTCGTTTGTTTTGTCAGCTTTTCAGTCTGGGTCTGAGCACCTCTCTGTGTGACTGGAATCTGGATTTCCTGTCACAAGAACCCAAGTGGTCCGGGTGGCCAGACACGTTTCTAGTCCCTGCACCCTGAACCTGCACCACAGCCTCCCAGGGGTGTGTCCTCAGCCCTTTTCTCTTCTCCCTGTACACACATGACTGTGTAGCTACGAAGAGCTCAAATATTATTGTAAAATTTGCAGATGACAGAGTCGTGGACAGTAACAATGATGAGCACAATGATGTACACAGAGGAGGCTGACAACCTGTCATAGTGGTGTCAGACTAACAACCTGCTGCTGAATGTGAGTGAAACCAACTGGACTTTGGGAAAACCAGCAGAGGAACTACACTCCACAGAGGATTAGTGGAACACTTGTGGAGAGGGTGTGCAGCTTCAAGTACTTGGAAATGAACATCTCTGGGGATCTGTCATGGTCAGAGACAACCAGGTGGAGAAGGCGAGGCTGCGCCTTTATCACCTCAGACAGCTGAGGAAATTCAGTCTCTCTGAAGGTCCTGAGGGTGTTTTACAATGGAATGGTGGAGAGCGCTCTGACTGGGAACATCACCCAGTGGAATGAGAGCAGCACTGCCTGCGACTGGAGAGCCCTGCAGAGGGTGCTAAGGTCAGCAGGGCACACCATGGGCACAGCGCTCCCCACCCTTGAGGACATCTACACTAAAAGGAGCATGGTCAGGAAAAATAGGATCAAGGAGAACTCCCACCACCCCAGCAATGGACTGTTGGAGTGGCTATACTCTGACCTAAGGAACATCAAGGCAAACACAAAAAGACTCAGAGAGAGTTTCTTTTGTCATGCTGTCAGGACTATGAACTCTGACCTCAGGTCAAAATCTAAACCAGAGCACAAAACACCTCATCTGTACTACAGCACAATGGATTAATGTAAATACGTAAACAACGTGTAGGTCTATGCGCACACTTGCACACACACACACACACACACACACACACACACACACACACACACATACAGAAATAAAAAAAAAAAACTTTTGAGTAGCAACATACCGAGATGAGGTATGACAAAAACAAGAAACTTATTTTGAACTGCATTTTAACTATTGACAGACCTGCTGCTGTAGTAAGGTGATAATGTCCTCCATGTCACTGTCATCGAGGTTTTCCTGGGAGTGGATCTCCCACAGTGGAGGTTCATCTGGGTATTTCCCTACATATGTGAATTTTAACGTTGCTTCTACAGCTGCAAAAAGAAAACAGGCACCTTATATTAAACCTTTTTTTTCTAACTTTATTATCCTGACTAAAATCTCCTATCACTGACAATTGCTTAATCAACAAATGTGCTGTCATGACACGTTGTTTTACTGTCTGTTTGCAATGGAAGACACTTAGCAACCACACATCATATACTTACTTTCACCATTTTCCCCTGCATCTGATGTTACAGTGATGGTGAAGCTGGTGGGATCCTCTGAGAGCACTGCAAATACACATGCATTTGTAAGATAACTTCTACCATTTGCTATTTGATAAAGCGGTATACCTTAACTTCCCATATGCAAATAAAAAGATCTTATTGCACACTACCTACTGACATCAGGCATAATGCTGTTAAGACTACCACAGGTACACCATTCTACTCTGAGGGCATTAATATAAGTTTATGTCATGCATTTTTTAAAAACTCAGAGCAGACGGTAACCACGGACGAGTGCAGTATAAGAAACTCTCAAGTTAAGCCTGTCATCCCTTCAGTGGCTTCAGGGATTATATATATTCTTTGATTGTGATATTGTTTTAATTGATAAAATTCGCAGTTTTGCGCATTAATCCACACTCAATAGCCCACTACGGACTGAGTCACTTTTTTATATAGCTTGTTTAACGATCAGTAATTCTCTTTGGTCTTATCACCAAAAAGCAAACTTGTTTTTGTGAATGATTTTGCTTGACAACTGTACTTGAACTGTTGCTTGGAATACAGTAATGCAGTACCATTCATTCCTTTTACAGTGTGCTTTACGTATCTAAAAACGTTTTGAGCATCTTTATATGCCGAATTTATCAGCAGTTTCTCGGCTATTTTAGAAAATGCATGTTATGTATTTTATCTATTTAGTGTGGTGTCCTACGTTTAGAGAGCATTACACCTAATCTAAATGGAGTTTTGTGTATTTCTCTGTCCTTGTAAGATACAGTAAAAGACCCTGCAATAACTTTTCTGTAACAGCTCTATTTCTGGCATCTAGCTCGAAACTTACATTGAAAATAAATCTGAACAACTGGGTGTCAAAAAAATAGTAAACGATGTTTACTGTGTTTATGGTTCGTCCTCCCTATCCTAGCAAGCTAACTAGCATACAATTGCTAACAGTGACTTAACTATCATTGTCTTGCTAACGTTACGTTGATGCAGTTCAAACCTGTGAAAGAGTCTGGGTAGATGGACTCCATGGCTTCAAGTTCATTCCTTTGCTCTTCGGCGTAGTCTGTCATTTTGTGTAGCGGCAGATTATTTAGAAGTTAGCAAAATCATACCGCTAGATTGAAGCTAACACGCCGTGCTACAGTCACGCGACAGCGATCGATGATAACGTGGTTCGAACTTTCTGGTCTGACGGCGCTTTCGTTAGTCGCAAGTGCTACTTGTGGTACTATTGAGTTCGTGGGGAGAGGGTCGTTCGAGATAAAGTGCACCTCGCCTGGAAAGTGACGGGAGCAGGCGACACCAGCGGGTGGGGGGTGAGTTAAAAGTCGACAGACAAGACAGTTTCCAGCAGCCTGTACGGAACATTACAGCAACACGTTCTCCGAGACGAATGTATGAGCTTGTACAGTGTCTCCAAACGTCTTATTTATTTTTGTTGCTGTTGTTGTTGTTGTTGTGTTTGTTTTGTTTTTACAACACGACAGCCTTTAAAATTCTTGTACATGCGATCTGAAATTTCTGTTCGTGGTTTATTCATTGTACATTAATTTGCATGTAAATCAGCATTAGATGAATTTGGCACCGTACATAAATGAAGTGACCAAGCTTGACCCTCTTAAACTACGCAAATAAAGGGAAAAACACTGACAAGAAATCAAATGCAGTAACAAGAAATGCAGGACAATAGCTTAATAGTAGGCTTGTTCGATATCACCCTTAGGCAGATTCAATCACTAGCGATCGCCGCACAATACATGCCGGTTAGATTTCTGTCCAGTTAGATCCCGACCCTTGACGGACAAAAGGGAGCAAATTTGTACATGCAAACATCTGATATTAGAAATGTTGCATTAAACACATCGCATACAGACGGAACAGGACACATAGAAAATATACTTATATACGATGAAACATATATTTTATGTATCTTTCGTCTTTTCACTTTGCACTTAGTTACTGCACAGGAGTCATTAACTACATTTCCAATGAGCTCAGAAAAATGAAGAGCATGTCAAGCAGTTTGTGACCTTTGAGCCATCATTTGATCCTATACAGTAAGCACTCAGTGGCTAAAGATTGCAACAAAAATAAAATGTCAGATGATCTTATTCATACAATGCATGTGAACATTTTCCCAAACAAAAGCCACGCCTGTGGGAAGGATAATGTTTAGCTTATTAAAAATCAGGAACAGGGAAACTCGTCAAACCCAGGCTGCAGGGTGAAGGTGCTGTCTCACTGCAGGGAGTCTTCAGGCCATGTGGATCTTTTGTTGAAAGAGTTAGAGAAGAAACATACAGTGTTTAACAAATTTATCAGACCACCACCCAACATCAGGTTTATGCCACGGCTGCCCAAAATTAACAGCATTGATAACTATCAAAATAATTTTTTAGAATGTCTGGCACAACATCTTAGTGCATCATGAAATCATTTCTGAACTGACAACTTCTGGTTATTATCTGTGAAAAAGGACTATTCACTTGTTTCAGTTTATTTGCCAAATAAATAAAAATAATATTTTATTTTAAACAAGTCTTTGAAAGATTTCCAAAGTATTCATGTTTTCTATTTTTTATGACAGGTGGTCAAACAATTTTTTAAGCACTGTACACTAACTTATCATGAACACTGTGCTCATCTCGACAGGTGATACAGCTGTGGCACACAAAATATATTTGACATTCCTCTAAACTGACGTCTCTGAGGAGAGGATGTTTCAATTTGTATAAAACCTGTTGCCTCATCTCCTCTGTCCTCTTATCTCCTTCTCGCCCCTTTCTCAAATCTATGGTGGGAGGGATTAAGACGCGAGGAAAGGTGCAGTTACTGAAAGTTGGTAAAGGGAATGAGACACCCTTGCCTTAGCGACATCAATCAAATATTACTTGTGGCACAGCCGCTAAAGGTTTCATATGACATAATATTTAAAAATATATATTTTTCTACAATCAAAATCAAGGCAGAAACATTAATGGGTATTAATAGATATAGCATTGATACATCTGCTCTGAACTATACATAGCTCATTTTTATGCCCAGTAAGGATCAACATGCCACATTCTGAGGGTCAGTGAATGACACACACAGATCATGTAGACATACTTTTTTCATTTACACAAGTTTATTTATTGTGCTGGCTTTAATTTATTTTTATCAACACAGAGTTGGGCTTGAGCTATGGTTCCATTAAATAGATAGGCAAAAAAAAACAAGAGTTAATTTTGCAGCAAGCTATCAGTAGCTAAAACATGGTGATTTGTAGTGACGAGTTGAGACAGTCTATTTCTCACGCTTTGGCAAGTTAATGATAGCTGTGCTGTACAGCTGAGGACATAAAAGTTTTTAAAGTTAAACAAATGTAACTTGATTCACATTCAATGTTCACACTATAACCATCCTTCATCTTGGTCAGAAATTAGGTCTTTGCGATGCAGTTGGTGGTGTGAAAACCACAGGTCCAGGAAGTGCAGTCCTACAACTGTGGTCCTGAAAGTGTAGCTTCCAGGTCTGCAGACACACCCTACTCCAACTTGGTGGCATAGTCCACAATGAAGACATCAAAGCGCTTCTTCTCTTTCTCCACATAACAATTCCAAAATTAAACCCTAACCCTGCAGGTAGCTAACTTTGGAATGACAATTTTTGTAGCAGGTACCCAGAGCTAAGACAGAAACAGTATAGGTTGTCATTGGGAAAAAAATTAATTGTCATTAAGAAAAAAAAAAGAATTTGTCATTGAAAAAAAGAATTTGTCACAGAAATTTTTTTTGAAGTTCTATTTCCAATGAGACTGCAAGTGGCTCGGTGGTTAGCATCATCGCCTTGCAACTAGAAGGTCACTGGTTCATGTCCTGGTGAGGACACCTGGGATCTGCGTGGAGTTTGCATGTTCTCCCCGTGCAGCGTGGGTTCTCTCCGGGTTCTCCAGCTTCCTCCCACACAGTCCAAAAACACGTTGAGGTTAATTGGTGATTCTAAATTGTCTGTAGGTGTGAATGTGAGTATGCATGATTGTCTGTCTCTAAGTGTAGCCCTGCGATAAAATGGCAACCAGTCCAGGGTGTCCCCTGCCTTTGCCCTAAGTCCCCTGCCTTTGTCCTAAGTCAGCCCCCTAATGAGGATTAAGCGGTATATAGATAATGGATGGATGGATGTTTTCAGCGACAACTCTCTGTCATCTTTTGGCTTGGAGTGGAGGAGTTTGAGGGGACAGGCCAAGTGTGCCTCATTTGCATATCATGGAGTGAGCATCCTCATCCCTCCAGAACCAGTCACTAACATGACTGCAAGTTCAGGCAACACAGCTCTGCCTCTTTAATGAATACGTATATATTTTGAGGTTTATAAGCTCGTTATACAATCTTTATTTAATGTTTTAGAGGTGTTGATTTATTGACAGCTGTTGCAGTTGAACTGTGCCGTCTTATTCTCAGTTACATCAGTAGATCAACAAAAAACTTAGAAAAAAATTACGAAACCTTGCTGAGGACACCATGTAGTTTGGGTTCTGTTTTATTGTTTGAATCTGCCTCATAAACAGGGATGGATGGGGTTTACACTTTTAATATTCACATTACTAAAATAGATTAGTCTGTGATACAAACCTGCCGTTTGTCCTCAAACATCTAGAGGTTTGTAGTCTAACAGGTGAACAAAGATCACTAAACATAAATGTAATTACCTGTACCTCACCTGTGCCACACACTGAACAGCATCAGTAATTAATGATATATATGGAATATTTCATATCAACTGTTTTACTCAGAACCTAAAGACAGATGAGCTCTTACTCTGCCAGTCAAGTAATAAAACAGAAATCTTTTCAAGCATAAGCAGTGTCTGATCAAACTGGTCAGATTAAAGGAAAGTTTAATTCTTGCGTCAACAATTCATATCAGACAATTCATTTTCAGAATACAGATAAAGATATTTTATTAATTTTAGGAAAATTCATTTTATATCAGGACCAAAGTCTCTTACAAAACATATGCACAGATAGAAAAATAAAATAAAATAAAATTGTGCCTCTCCTCCTCCTGATGTTCTTTAGTGGAGCTGGTCAGCCTTCAGTTTTCATTAACACCATCATGATGCTATGCTCCATCAGAAGTTCCAGGATGGAGCTGCTGATGTTCCCTCCAATAAAAATATTGCTTAAATGTTATTTTCAGTGCACAGTTACAGTCAAAGGGATACAACAAGGTTGTATGAAGATAAGGAAATGATTCAGAAGTACAAAGTCAGCGATCGAGTGCAACATTAAAAAAACAATATAAAGTTATGAAAATTAACTTTGACCTAATTTAAACCGATTTGCCTGTGAACAATAAACAAATTACACTGTGAGGCAGAGCCAGTGGCAGATTTCAAAAAGTCTCGCTGAGATAACACTGCTCTCAGCAGGCTATCTTGATAAATTGTCACATATTTGACATTTATATCACTACTTTCTCACCTAAAATCTTAAAACTGCATTTTGTGTCACAATAACAGCAGTATTTACCAAAAAAACATATTACTGTTGAAAATTTTCTCCTCTGATTTTCTGGTTGGTGCGAAATGAATTCTGGGATCCTTGGCTGTCCCAAGTCCACACAAGTCTGGTCTGATGCATACTTGATAATGTGGGCAGAGCGTGAACACATCTGGGCATGTCATCTGAACTTGGTCAAATGCATATTTAGAATTGGAACAGTACTTGGTCTCCGACTGATGACATTTCACAAGAATGCAAGTACAGACAAGTATGCATATTGAGGAACAGCCTCGGTCCGCTGTTTACAACGCTCTACAATAGGAAGAAGTGTTGTCCAGAAGACCTGCCCTTCTTTGTCTAGTCCCAGTCAGCAGGATTCTGTGTTTCTGGTTGGCACAGTGTTGACTGACTCCATATGCAACCTGCCTCTTATGAGGCAGGTTGCACCACTGCTTCAGCATGCAAAGTGTGCAGCTTATGCTGCACACTTTGCATGCTGAAGCAGTGGTGCTCGAGTTGGAGGAATAGCTTCGTAAGGACTCTGCTTTCTAGCAAACATGTCTAGTTTGGCGTAATCCACACCTGCAGCTGTACTGGACCTGTCATACATCGTTACCACAAACTTCTCCAGGGTCTCCAGATCATCATCATCAACTGTTGGTGTGTACTGGCTGAGCTCTGTGAAGA